CAGAAGAACTCCCCACAAGGCTCAAAGGTCCAAGATTTTTCTTATTCTTTAAAGATGGACTGATTCGTGTCACCAGCAAGGCTGGAATCGTAGGAAAACGGCTCACTTTGCTCACGGCACATTTTCTTTGAAATTCTCTAAAAAAAACATGCAGGAAATGCCATTTCAGAAGGTTCAATCATTTTTCAAAATTTCCTGGAGGAGCATGCCCCCCCACACCCCTAGGAACCTCGCGCCTTTGGCACTCGCCTCACGCCTACTGTTTTCACTGGTCCCTCAAGCACTTGGAAGAACCCCCCACTCACACTATTTAAAATCTTGGCTATGGGCTTGTACTTACTGGGAGGCTCTGGCCTGATGAGTAGGACAGTGTTCTGCTTGACGGCGCGGAAACCCTCCGGTATGGAGGGTCGATCCTGGCCGTACACGTCTGCCAGGGGCAGGAAGACCTCCCCCGCTACGTCATCCCTGGCCAGGACGTCGTGGTCCATCACGGTGAAGAGAACACAGGCTCCAGTCTGCTTCAGCTGGGACACTGCTACTGGACTGTCAGGGAAACAGAGAAAATGTGGTAAGGTGAGGCAGAAAGCCAACCTTGTCGGTGAAGCAGATAGCCAACCTTACTTGCAACAAGGGGAAGTGGAGGGCTCTTGCAGTTGCCTGTGCTGCAGCTGACCGATGATGGTGAGGTGAGGGATTTCTTTCTTTTCGTTTGGCAAATTAAAGTTTTAGGGTTGAAGGCTATCTCAGTTATGCATGGCTCAAAGTCAAAAGTATCTGCTAATTGTTCCATTTTGGTGACCACAATTGTCACAATACCAAGTCTTGGTCACATTATGCCTTCACACTATAATTAGAAATCATGTCTAATCATGGATATTGAACAAAGAAGCTGGTCAATCTATGCCCCCACTCTGGTTCTATTAGAAATCAATGTATATTGTACATTTTTGCATGTTTTACCATCAAATACAGTAAAACATTGGTTGTCACAAGGCATAACTGTTAAGCCAGCATTATATTTCAATTTCAATTTATTCAAACAAAATAGTACAAAAGCAGAAAATGCTGATGCACGATTTTTACAATTGGTTTAAAAAACAAAACAAAACAAGACAAGTACCCAGAAACACACTATAATTATAGAAATTATACATGTATATAATGCTGTACTGTAGCTAAACGGTTATGAATGCATATTTTTACACCCCTTGCTTTCATATCCTAATATTGCAAGATGAATTTGGTCAGTTCTTAGTTGACATTAAACATTGAATTAAATGGTTGAAAAAGTTCAAGAGTTGACCCAATAACTTACAATTTGAAGGTCTCGTCAAAGAGTGGGTTCAGTGTCTTCTTCTTGATGGAGGTTTTCTCTATTGCACAGGAAGGGAAGTGGTGGGATGGGCACAGCTCTATCAGCACGAAGGGGTCACTGTAGCCTTGTGGGAAGGCATGAAGATCACATGTTAGTCACATGATATCTGCATGTTCATGTCATGCTCAGGGAATGTTCAAGAAGGATACAATGAAACCGTGACTCTTAAAAGGACCGCTGACAGTATTGGTGAAACATTTTGATGTATGGATTTTATTTTTTGTGCTGTTCTGCATGTACTACGAGCTGATCCATGGTGTGAGCTCTATATTGTCTCTCAAAACTTAAGGATGCCAACAACACGTATCATATGATCTTTGACACTTTTCAAAGAATCATGAATGTTAAAAGTAATTTTAATTATCATCATCGACATACCATTTGTGTCCAAGGCAGGCAAATCCTTGCCACTCATGACTGAAGAAGAAAAATTTGAGACATGTTCACATTTGATATGCACAAAACATTTTGATAAACATGATAAATTGTTAGAGAAACAAAACCTTGATCAAGTTGATATTACAGAAACAACTGTATCTCTTTTACATCTACCTGTAGTTTAATCCTGAAAATATTATATTTTTATATCATTTTGTCATTGTCAGAAAACATTCACTCAGACACTACATTCTGAGCAAAAGATAACTTTGTACCTTCGATATGTAGAGAAGAGTCAGAGTTGTCGTAGTACACTTTGACACTGAGCGTCCCATAGTTCACAACAGTTTCTTCTTTCTGCAGGAACAATGCTTTATGATTAAGAAGTTTTTGCAACAAAGATTCAACCTCTTTACCTGGCATGGCATAGGAGGAGTTTGAATACATTTTTGCTATTGACTCAATCTTTCAGATTATGTACAAGGCATGTACTTCATCAATCATCCTTGGTGTTATGATTAATGATCATAAATAATACATATTTTGTATTACCTGTTGCTGAGGTTTCTCCAGGAAGAACTGCTCAATGAGCTCGTCTGTAGTTGCCTTCTGTAGAGTCAGTGTTTCACGCAGGTACTGCCGGAATAATAAGGAAAATTAAGCTCTGTGACTGACTTAATGGTCGGAAAAATTATGCACAAGACTATAATAATGAGGATTTCACCTCATTGAAGTGTCGATATTGCCACTACCACCTATAACAATACCAGAAAGTCTGCATCAGACTACTAGTTTTGCACATGTTTGTAACTCAATGGCTGGCTTCTTTGCACACCATCTGACTGCTTTAGTCAGTAATCTTTCTCTAGAAAACTCATGTGACATGTAGGACCTTTATCAAGTTTATGTATATCACAAAACATCAAGCATATGTACAATATACTGTTATTCGAATGCAAGCTCACGGAATGGACCCGTCTGCTCTTGGAATTCTACCAAATTTCGTTATTTTGTAATGCATTACACGGTTCCATTCTGGAAGCACACCTTGTAGTCGTCTGTTTGTATGGCCTCGTCGTCCAGCCCCTCCCCGTCTGCGTGGAACAGGTCCTCCAGGATGTCCAGAGCTTCATGCAGGCGGCAGTAGAACGGAGACTCTTTCCCCAGGTTCCCGTCTAACGTCTCCTTCAGCTCTCTCAGAACCACGTTCCAAATCTCATCAAGGATTCTAAAGAGATTGAAATATTCTTTAAAACATGATGTTAAGTAAAAATCTACTGCATGTTATTAGATGCTTGCAAGTTCTGTACCTCTTATAACAGTGAGTTTGAATGTATTGAATGTCAATAAGTAATAACTCAATGACATTGTCATGTTTTTTAAAGGTCAGATTTTAGTTCAAAACTTTGGTTAGTGTTGTATATTAGCTAGGGATAAAATGATTTTGAATGCAGATGTGTCAATACTGGTGAGAAGTTGTTCAATGAAAAGCCAACACCTACTTGTCAAAATTTGCTCTGAGCAGACTCATGTTCAAGGTCTTCAAGTTGTTGTCCAAGTACTCCATCAAAGGACAGATGGCCTAAAACAACAGATAACATTCACTTAACACATCAATTGCATTATAACAGTTACTGTAACAGTTACAGTAACAGTTACTACTAATAATAATCATATGTTAATATCTTTCAGCTTACAGTGCTTTTTTTTGTAATACAGTGAATCTGTTGATAATGTCATGGGCATGTGCTTAGGGCTGACAGTCTTCCACTTTGGCCAATAATTTGTTTCTGAGATTAGGCAAGTTGTTTAACATCTAAAACTCTTTATGGCTGTTTTTGAATTACTCACATCATCTGTCCGAGCAGAGTCAGGTGCCCAGGCGAGGTGGAACACAAACTTCTTGATATCTGGTTCCATCTATTGGAAGGAAAACATGCAAGTAAGTCACTTTTATCCTCAGTATGCAATAGCAAAAATTGAATAATATAATGACATTATTAGGATTTTCTTTCACACAACCAGTAATGTCTCTCACCACATTATTGAGAGAGTCATTACTGGTTGACTATTTAAAAGAAAATCTCAATATCCTACGTTCTACCTACCTGATGACATTATTTTGGATGCATAATATAACATTACGGAGTATAATTTACTATAAAAAGATTCATTGCCAATCCAACAGGTGGTTGAGGCTATCTGCAAAATATGAGAAAGTCTGGCAAACACTTTTTGTGATATTTAAAAAAACATCTCAAGCATTTGTGATTGCAGAAAGAAAAAAACTAATTCTTTAATCATTTTTTTATGTCTGCCTTCATATCAGACTTCACTAATATCCCTCTTACATGTATTTTCTAATCACAAAATAATCATCGAAAGCCACTTTGCAATAATTACTTACTTTCTTGCCAACTACAATCACGACATCAGCGACTTTATTTGACATGTCATCATTGGCTGACTCCATCATGTTGACCAGCGTTCTGTGCGACTGTTGACCTCCGACCTCCCCGTAAACCTTCTGCATGGACCTCTCGATGTCCGCAAACCCAAGGGATTCTGGGAGAGAGGTCAACGACCTCTTGACATGCTCGATGTTGTTCAGTGTTATGCAGAGCTGTGATTGAAAAATAATTTAACTATTCAGCTGTTCAGCTTTGGATTTTAGATATTATTATTACACAATGAGAAAGCCATAGTCCTTTACCCTTGTTTTTGCCGTGATTTTCTTTCTTAAGCCTTCCATTACAAAACCAGTAATGTATTGCACTTGAGGTACAAAATCAAACTTGTCCAAAAAGGCAATTTAAAGCCAAACATCCCTAGCCAAAGTGTCTTTGAAAACTCACCTGGTCTGTGATATCAAACTGCCCCTCATCGTCAAAGTAGCCTGCAGCCTTCAGCTTCTTGTGCATGAGCTCTGCGTAGTACCTGGCTCCACTGCAGATATCCTCCATCACCAGCGTCACAAAGGTGTAGGCCCCCACTGGGTCTGGCCAGTCCAACTGCCTGTAGAACTCACGAATCTGAAACAGCACATCATCTTAAATGCGTTGATGAAGGTTAGACATCTAGGTCATAAGATTACACCAAAAAACAGTTACTCAAGCAACTGGATTATGATTTTGGAAACGGTCAGACGTTTCAGGTAGCATCCACTACCTTTCATCAGTGACACTGGAGCCTTGTCAGGAAGGCAGGTTTATGAGTACGGAGTGGCTATTTATCGATAAAATAAGTGAAGACAAATTTGTTGAAAGTCCAAAGGAAACAAAAGTTAGACAAATCAAGACAAGGATGATGCAAATTAGTCAAGTAGCTCCTGTTGTTTCAGCTCTAAGATGCTATTTTAAAAGCTCGAAGAAGATGTATACAGATTCTATGTAATTTTTTATCCTTTTATAGATTTTGAAAGATGTATTGGTACTGCAGTACCTGTCCAAAGCAGCAGGTGGCATCAACTGCTGATGTACTGTGTTTCACCATCGAGTGCACAAGCTCAACCTATTGACAGGGAAAAAAATTAATGTTGAAACAATCTGTTCATAAACCTTGACATGATAGATATTTCCACAAGCCTGGTAAGGAGACTAACACTTTTAAGAATTTCCTAATGATTTGTTTTCATGCAAATTGTTGATGTTAACAATTACGATGATTGCAAGTAGTGCACAAGTTAGCTGTCACCTTCCACCACCATACAAAACTAGGAAAAGCAAAACAACCTAGAGCCCACAGATAAACACAAAACCAACACCACGTGGCAAGATGTATGGCAAGAGGAAGGGAGAGTTGTGTAGTCTAAGAGAGAAGTGCTTGCATTATGGCGGTGCAAGACATTTAATAAACAAGTCATGTACATATACCTCCTGTTGGTGGTCCAGAGAAAGGTGCAGAGAAAAAATGAAGAAATTGTGTCAGTAAACAATAGAGCAACAGAATACTGTATCATAAAAATAATCATAAAAAATCATCTGTGTTAAAAAGTGGCAATCAGGTAGAAGAGTATCCAGCAAAAACAATCTTAGGAAACTTCAATGTGATGAAACATCTGCTGTTGATAATTATGAAAATCAAAATTGCAGAAGAATAGACAAATAACCCACATACTTTTCCAGCTGGGACACTATCCACCAAATATTACCCTTTATCAATACTATGTACATTATTGTGTGGTACAATGTACATGTAACTACTGCCTTGAAATTCAATATGTGTCAATCACTCAACAAGATTAGAGCTTACATACACAAAAATATCACAATCTCACATGTTAAAATGTTCTAAGCATCTACAGTAACTGCTTGACATTCATTTTTCCAATTGGTGAATATTGACAAATTTGAATGTCATGTACCTTGTCCAATTCCACAGCCTTCTCCAGCCGTCTGAAGGCCTTGTGCCGTGCCAGGCTGAACCATCTCTTGATCGCCGGGTCAAACCACACATGGTAACTGTCCATGTGTAGTTCACTCTTCTCACTGTGATGAAAAAAGGTAAGGCCCAATATTTCTTGACATATCACACCAAGACTATCCATCTTGTTCTAACCTGTAGTGGTTTTAGCATAAAGGTCTGTCTTCTCTAAGGATGGCAGTAGCCTCTACTAGGCTTCAGGAAGCAGCTGGAAAGAGTAGAAATTGGCCAAATACAAATGTAGAAAGATGATATGCCAGGGGAGTTGGTCCATGCTGAGAGAACAGAAGAAGCGGCAAACTGTTCTCTCAGTGAAAACTAACTCCCCTGGCATATCATCTGTCTACTTGGCCACTTCTTGAACCCTGGTAGAGACTAGGGCTGTGTTTAAGTGAAGTCACCCAAACCGCGATTCGGGTAACTCACATTCCTCACATCTGGTCCATGTGCCACACACTCCTGTGAAACCGTGTTCAATCACAATTCGCTTGAGCTACATTTATTGCTGTTTGATGATAACACGCAAGGTGGCGTGTTATTAATGTCAGAGGTCAACGACCTGCTTGCTGATGCCCCCCTCCCAGCGTATCTCGGCCGAATGCCGACGTGGTCCCGCCAGAGGCGGTGAAGCTCGCCCTAGAACGGACACATTATTTGACCATACAGCTTTGGATTTTAGATATTATTACACAATGAGAAAGCCATAGTCCTTTACCCTTGTTTTTGTCGTGATTTTCTTCCATTACAAAACCAGTAATGGCTTCGGAGTAAACCACATGTAAAGCGCCTTGGGTGACTTCACTTAAACACGGCCTAGGATGTCAGCAGAACCCAATGATAAGGCAAGGAAATTATTCAGGAATTTAAAGAGATTTGTAACTACAATTACCTGACTGGAAGGGATTCCTTGAAGGCATGGAACTCTTTGAGAGCCAAGTAGAGTTCAAACAATGATGTACTGATGGTGACGTCATCATGGTCTGATGCGGAGGGCGAGTGTTCAGCCTGGAGGGTCACATTGATGTCCTCCATACCTGTGTTCATGTCCTTGTACAACTAGAAGAGGAAAAAATAAATAAAGGCATGAAAAGAAAGTGTCTTTGAATGGCTGATCAACATTTTGGTTATGTTAACCGTTGTCCTACAGAGCCCATATGTATGGTTATACATACAATACCATCTATGTAGCGCCCTATATATGTACGTATTTCTTGTGCAAAGCATCATACCACAGCAAAACGCAATGAATGCGAAAGTAATTACGCCACAGCAGGGGAAAAAACCAAGGGACTGTGACTTGATTAAGATGAAATTGTTCAAAAATATTGTGTAAAAATGCCAGAAGGACAAGGGTTTAAAGTCTTACAGAAATCCCATAATAACAGTCACTCTGCACTTTCCAGGTTTATTAACAATTTGTGCTATCTATTTCTGTTTTTTTTTGTTAACCAGATTAAGGCCAGGGAAGACATGCTACTCAGCAATACATGTGCAGAGAAGGTACAGACAAGCAAACAATGAGGTTGGTGTATTTGATTATCACGGGTGATCTCTATTCAACTTCTGATGAAGTCACTTAACCCTTAATGATATTGTCTTGTCCCAGCTCAGTTACAATGTAGCTCACATTCCAAACCCAACACACCTGTCCATCCCCATGATCACAGTAGTATAGCCCATCCATTGTGCATTTTACACATGAAACAAGAATTTGGCCACCTTCTCAGGCACTCTGCTCAGGTACATGTATTTTTGTTTATTTTTATTTAGTTTTGCACTTTTTCAGCATACAACTATTATATTCTTATGGACTGCAGATTATGTTGCACTTGGAAGGTACAAAGAGACAATCGTGTGGTTGCATAAGTTTATGAAATTATGACATTAGTTTCTAAAAAGCCTCTTGCAGCCAATCCTTTTCAAATATCACTATCGCTGCATGCAAATTTAGAACTCTCAATTGTATCATAAGTATTAATAATGATCAGAATGTGTAAGAGACTCACCAGAGCTTCCAGCTGTTTGTATGCAACAGTGAAGTAGTCCACATTCACAACACTAGAAAACAACATTTAAATTTGTCAATGGCCACTGAAGCAATGTCACAGTATACAATATAAGTTACTGCATATTTACATGTAACTGTACAACTATCAGAACTCTGAGACAAGATCTTACTGGGTTGACAAAATGCGTCTCGAAAGCTCCCTAAAGTAGCTAATAACTCGTGTGTATTGTTTGAAAATAAAAAAATATTGCCAAAAATATATCAGAATATTGATTCAGTATTTCCTTTATAGAATAGTGCACCAACAATATGTCAGCAACTTTACCACTTACTACATGTACATACATTTGTACTAGTAATGTGGGTTCAGGGACAAAATGATTATTTATTTATTTATTGGGATTTTCAGAAAAGAAACTGGGAGGAGTCAGCAAACAGGATGTAATCCTTTGACAAGACAATTATATGTAAGCTCATGTTGAGAATTGTTCTCACCTAAGAAACAACTTGTTGTAATACTTGAGGGCCTTCTGTATGTCTGTGTTGATCTCATTGGTCAGCTTGACCATGGACTGTAGGACCTCCTCATCGGACTGGTCAAAGATAGAACATCAAAGTCAATGAACTTACTGATAGGTAGATCAGATTCTACAATGATGACAACTGAAAATTCTGAATGTTACTCCTTGCTTTCATTTGAAACAAACACACAAGTTACGTCAATGAAGGTTAGACATCCAGGTAATACGATACGCCAAAAAGCAGTTACTCAAGCAACTGGATATGATTTTGGAAACGGTCAGATGTTTTGACTAGTATCCACTAGCTTTCATTTCAGCTAGTATCCACAAGATTTCATCACACAAGTTTTCTATGATGTCTCACATAAGCAGCATGAACATTCAAGAAGATGCTACAGTGAGCAACAGTGTGAACTTATAGAGCTGAAGGACTACTAGTATTAGTAATGATTATCTCAACCTTAGCTTTAATGAGTGTAAACAGAGTATGGCTCAAAAAAGGACCATTTTTGTCACATTACTGTGTATTTACATTACCCTGTACACCATTGACAACTGTCATAGCACATGGAAACAAACAAAGAATTCAGAGTGTGTATTCTAATTTTACTTTACACAAAAAATACAGGACATTATAGTTGAAACAGAATTAGCACGGCAAGACTAAATGGGAGACAACAACAAATTCCAACAGGTTTTAATTGTATTAGATCTAAAGAAGTGAATAATCCTACACTAAGGAACCATTCTATAGGCTTGAGAGGGTCACTGCTTTCAATTTCATTTCTCAGGACTGAGACTTCATTGACTATGGCCTGTAGCATTTCCTCTGACACCTGGGAAGAAATTGCAAATGAGCTTGATAATGGGCATTGTTTGTAAAATTGCTACATAAGTAAGTAAAATCATCATCAGTTGCTAGGCATTTAAGGGGTTATAAAAGCAACACAATTTAACTGAAGCCTGCATGTACGTCTCTCTGCTTAATGTAAATCATGATTTTATGGTAAAGTCAAATGCCAATTTTGTGGCCCCTTCAAGACCCCTTCAATGGTTGTTTTCTCAAAGAAAGGTTAGACTCTAATGCTATGTTGCATCTTTCCCAACAGGTTTCTAATAGGGTCGATAGCCAATTGTAGGCATGTGACATAGGAAGCGAATTAAGCTCCAAGATTGAATTACATTTTTCATTCAAGTCTCGCGGCGAGACTTGAATGAAAAATGAGGCCCGGATGTACCATAAAGGGATCATTGATTGATTTACCTAAAGTAAGGAGGATTTCGGGGTTTTGAACCCAGGAATGGAATTAAGTTTCCAATCACTTTTAATGGTTTACTGAGCCCCAAAGGATTGATAAAAAGAAACAGGTAAGACTCAAGCAGACATAATCCTGTTCAGCATGAATAGAGAAAGGGCCAAATGCTAATTCTAAAGCATGGTGATAGGAGTGAAACTTAATACTCCATAGTAACAAATCACACATAAGTCATCTACCTAACCAATGTTTTACATTAAATGTTTTCCTAAGGCTTTCTTTCTAGACTAAAGCTTTTAGCTTCATTTTGTCTACTGAGCAAGATTTGCTTTGCTATTCCCATCCTTCTAAATTCATAGCAGCAGCAAATTTGTAAACATCTTCAAAATGTAAACTCTTTACCCACAAATCTGTAGCAGTTAGAGCAAAGCCCACATCTAAGTCCTGGCTTTCTTAATACCAGTACATTTGAATATTCTTCACTACATATAGTATATGGTAATACAGTTTACAGTAACATGACCCTAAGTCAGATGCAGTAGTCTATATCATAGTATATGTTAAATAGGTGTAACATCTGTTATTGGTTCGAGCTTTTGAGCTTTAAGAAGCAACTCTTGTGTGACATGTACTTACATGGGTTGTGGGCTTTGTGATTGCTCTGACTTTCAGGTACCAGTCCTTTGTACCTTGCTGTAAATTACAAGATGTAAGATTGTGTGCATTTAGGTACTTGAAGTAAAGCATGAAGGATAACAGAAAGCTACAAGGCTAACATTTGCTTTAAGCCAAATAGAGCATTTCCATTCCATCTTTAGTAAAAGTGTAGCCCCGGATATGTACATTCAAAAGGGAAAACACGGCTTTTCTGAGTAGGAAAATCTACATGCATTATACCCAACCATACATGTACATGAACATGTACATGTATATGGCACAGTGGATCTTCTAAGGCCACACCAATTTAATTTGTTGGTTCTCGGATTTTTTCAGAAAAAATATGAAGCGACAGGGCGAAAAAAATAAAATAAAAACAGGTCTAGGCATCCTATTATAGGCTTAAATGCTATGGAATGAGCCATGAAGTCAACACAAAAGGCTGGGTTAAAATTTAAACATTGAATTTTGAACTTTTAATCAAACCACTGCAATGATAGATGGGAAAACTGTAACAACTAGGAAGAAAAGGACTTTCCTCAACTGTTGGGGGCAAAACATGAGCATTTTTCAGTTGATTCAGGACCAGAATGAAATTTTTTTTTTGTCAAATCAGAAAAAAACGAAGAGGCGAATCCGAGAACCAACAAATTAAATTGGTGTGGCCTAATGAGTGTTTGATGCTTACTGTGTTTCACCAATTTCCATCTATTTTTACCCAGCAGTAAAATGTCTAAAGCAATAAGATAGGGACATTGGGTACAGTTTAAAGCTATCTTTCTAGCAATTCTATTGCATTTGCCCTAGAAATAAAAGTATAATGCTCTTTGGAGAGACCATCATAAACAAAATACAGAACATTTTCCATTCTGCCTAGGGGATGGAAGTATAAAGACACCGATTTGAAAAACATTATGATCATTCTTTCTTCTGCCTTACCCATGCATGACCTAATTACAAATTGGGTCCCAAAAGGATACTCAAATAGGGAGAAGGCTAAAAATGAATGCGGTAACAGATCTAGACCTTATCCATAATCTGATACAAATTGTATTGCATACCTTGATGACTTTGATGATCTCTCTGCGCATGGGAGCATGGAAGGGGCAGACCTTACTGTAGGCTGGCATGTCGTCTATCAACTGTAAGCACCTGCAGAGTAACAAAATCCAAATATTTAGTTCAAGGCTGAGTAGGAACTTCAGAAATCTGCATACTATTTAGTTTTGGGTATTATAGTCACAAAGCATTGTTTCTATATGTTGTGTTAACAACAGAATTGCTTTCAGCACCAAGGACAGGAACATACATGTAACACAGGTCTACACATACATCAGGTAGAAAGTCAGCAGTGTAAAGCTTTGGGATGCTTGTACAAAGCAAATGATATCCAAATAGGACAAGTTACATTCACAAGTACATCATAAAGTGAAAGTTGAGACATCCAATGTAACATTATGTCCTATTGTTGTCATGTTGTACAAAAAGTCTGTTTGGCAAGGTATAAAAATGTAGCCTGGAGTCCAGCCTTGTTAGCTTTAGTCTGCTCACCAAGATCCGCTACACACCCAACAACCTAACAAGGCTGGACTCCAGGCTACTAAAAATATGGGAGTTTTGATTCTGCCTCACAGAAAAAAATGGGTGACATTTATTCCCTACATGATTGCTGTTCATATATATTCTTCCTTACTTTTTCCAGCTGTGGGGGTGAGAAGACTGTGCTTACCTGAGTATGTAGTCCAGCTTGTATATGGCCTGTCTGTTGTTGGGAGGAAACAGGCCTCTGTGCTGATCAAGGAGAGACATGCACAGCTCTATGAAGTCTGCAAATGAATCGGCCAGATCCTGCTCCTAAAGGAAACAACAAATTGTGAGCAGACATTTATATTGTATATTTGTCAGTGGTAGAAATATTTTTTTGCAGTGTTCCGCAATATTGCAGAATGTCAAAATTTTATTCTGCAATTCAGAAACACTTTCTGTAAATACAGACCGGATCCAAACCCGTGGAATTATATACAAAATAGCATGTTGGCATGCAAAATTACTTGACAATGTATATCATAGAGTCAGTAGTAAACAAAAGGCTTTCAAAAACCATTGAACCCCTAGCCTGATTTTTTCAGTCTGCAAAATTGCAGGTTGCTTAATTTTTCTTCTGCAATATTGAAAATGTCTCTGCAAAATGCAGATTGCAGGTGGGTATTTCTAACACTGTGTGAATTGGCTGGTTGATGGTATACATGTGAGGCACACACTTGACCTTATATGACATTTGATTTGTCAGTCATTTATGAGTTGTGTGCTTGCTTTTGGTAAAATTGGAAAACAGAGAAGCAACAGATCGCATATTCTAAAATCACATCTCTGGGTATTCACAAAGATGTGGATATGTAGCCACATTTGGCAAATGGAGATGTTTGAGCAAGGAAAGACACTACACTTTTCTTGTATTATTACCAGTCTCCACTATCAGAACATTTTATAAAACTCTAACATGCATAGTCAGTAAAGGAGTTACAAGAACTGTGTTTTCACCTCCTCTCTGGTGAGCCCGTCAGGCTGCCAGCTGTTGTGCAGCTCGTGTAGGAGTTTGTACAGAAACTCGTAGTCAAAGGCGTACTGCAGGTGCTGCTTACTGTAGGCTCTCCAACGGCTGAAGGGGAGGGAGCATGGTAGTGTTATAAGGCCCCACCAATTTGCTTCGTTGCTTCTCAGATTTCTTCAGAAAAAAATATGAAGCGACAGGGAAAAAAGGCCTAGGCATTTTGTGATAGCCCCAAATGCTATGATAAGAGCCATGAAGTCAATATATCAGGCTGGTTTGTAAGTCAAACAATGTTTTTCAAACTTTTAATCAAACCACTGCATTGAGAGATGGAAAAATGGTAACAATTCTGAAGAGAAGGGGCTTCCTTCAAATGTTGGAGCCAAAATATGGGCATTTTGGACTGTTTCAGAGCCTGAAATTTTTTCTTTTTGTTTGCAAATCGGAAAAGTTTTAAGTGGGCAAATCCGAGAACCAAGGAATTAAAATGGGTGTGGCCTAGAAATCAGACCACCGAAACTGATAAACCTAGGAAACATCTAGTATGTGTACTACGTAATGTGTGTCACTGAGTGTCAAGCCACAGTTTTCTTAAGCACTTGGATCTACTAACCCCTATAATAACAAATTAACAAATTGGCACTATGCCAACAGCCTGCCAATGCCTGACTCTTTCACCCACATACCATATCTGAATCTGATCCTTCACCCACACACGACATCCGAATCTGATTCTTTCACCCACACAAGTCATGTACACCATATTACTGCTAATATCTTGACAGATTAGTCCCTTGGCCTTTGTTAAAGATTGTAGAATCATATATCTAGAAGTAGTTGTCAACTTAGTATCAGTCAAGACCAAAACATCATGGATGACAGTTCTCAAAGTACATGTAGCATATATTAGGCTTTTGTATCTTATCACAATCATATATTTTTATGCATACTGGTACATAATAATAAATTATTATTATATAAAATGGCAATATTCAAAGTCAATGACTACAACATATCCTGTCAGCAATCAGAGATCTGAATTGATCCTTACACAATAGCTTCATCCAGTGGAGTCAGCTCCTGTTGAATGAAGTGCTGGTGAAGAATAGTCTGAGCCGGTTGACTCAAGTTCCCATCCCACTTGTCAAAAACGTGGTCCTGAACAAAATATAGAAAATATGATATTATATTATGTCAAAATCGTATGGTCTGTTTGCTCCTAATGTACATGTTTGTACATGTATTTGTAGTCAGCATTATTTCTTGCTCTCTTGATAAATCTTCTTTGTATATTATGTCAGATTATGATGAAAGTAATCCACATTTATTCAGTAAACTGTAAGCCAGTGTAGTATAGGACTGGTACAGTTTTGTATCTCATTGTCTGAGAAAAGAAGAAAATGGTACACATTATACAGTACAAAGCTGCTTCTTTGAGAAGACTCACCGAATGTGTTCTGGCTTCATGTTCCACAAATAGGTTATACAGGTCCTGATGAACCCTTATGGCTTCCTCCTTATATGGGGTGTCTCTCTGCAACAGAATGCAAGGAACAGTTTTAAAAAGTTCAGGATGATGTACATAGTCTTAGGTCACACACCGAAAATTGCTCAGTTCTACTACGATTTATTTCAAAAGCATTCAGGCAAGATTAACTTCCGGGTAACCCTAGTAACCTTCTTCAATTTACCACGGCAATGTTTTCACTCACCTCCTGAGTCGCTAGTTGAAGTTGAAGTCTGAGCCTGCCTTGGACCTTAGACCTGATTGACCTTGCTTCAAGGTCAAACCATTGGTCACAGCCGGAGGATGGAATTCTCTATAATCAAAGACAACAGACACAGCACATGAGGCTTGGATAAATGGTTCCTAAATTTCATGCCAGAAACAATATTTTATGTCCATGTGTACTCTGCAAATTTTAATAGAAATTTCAATGAAAACAGCCATCAAAATGATTAACAAGCAGTTCAAAATATCATATTTTGACCCCAACACCATCAAGTTCCACAGAAATCAGCCAACATTCATTAACACACTGTCCTAACTGGTAATGAAGACAGTGAGATTTCTAAAAACAGAGCCATGTCGGCTCACAGATGTATTCTCTGAATCATGAAATGTTGCATTCCTCTGTTCACTGAGTAATAATTATTGGATGTTTACATGTATTTAATTCTCAGATGTTTTATGTACTAGCTGCATGTCAAAGTATGGTAATATCAGTTCTCATTCAGTTCCTGCTTTGATCAAGATCATCTCCTTGGTCTATGATCAAAGAACCATCAAATCTTTGACACATGATCAACTGTATGCAGTACTGTATGCAGCTCTTTCATGCATATAATTCTCAGCCATGTTATGGTAAATGCAACTAATGATTGGATAAGAAAGAGTTGGACTAGGTGGAAATTGCCCCCCCCCACGCGACTACTAGTATCCAAACCACGGGACTAAGCCAGAGCACACCCATTGTTGGAAAAGTGGGACAGACAATGGACACCACTTCACGATCACCATGTTACATCCACAGAGACCAATTAAAGATTTCTTATGCCACTCTTGTTGCCTGATTCCTTTCTGAGTGGTGCGTAATTCATGCATCATTATTCTGCTTGCATGCGATATTGTTCCTTTACTATGCAGGAGACAACTCGGTATCCCAGTGAGAAAGACGATAAAAGTGTTGGAAAAAATTGGCTTGGCGTCATGAAGCGATTAATGCCTATTAATGAAGATGTTGAATGACCACAGATGCACAGTCTCAGTACTGGGTGGATTTTATGCAGTCTACCGATCATGAGATGTATTTAATACTACTTATCACGTACACTAGTATGGCAATAAATCCAGCAGCAATGAGCAAATTTGAAGGGGCGGGAATTAATGATCGTATCTTGAACCACCTGTGGCTGTACGTAAAATAGCCTGCATGTGGGGGCGGGTAACAATTCTTACATCGCTCCATGTGATAGCAACTCAGCTGATACCTACATGTGTATAATGGTCTGCGGTCTACAGGGATTTAGAAGTAAGGATACAATTTGGCAATGGAATATGCAACAATCCTAGAAACTTTAAACTGACAAAGAAAATTGTAACCGGCAAAGTTTGTAGCTTCTGCTCATTCCAATTTTTCATTCCTAGTTGGTATCACACAGGCTCCTACTGTCAGAGACCATTACATGAAATATGTAACAATCCTAGAAACTTTAAACTGACAAAGAAAGTTGTAACCGGCAAAGTTTTTAGCTTGCTGGCTCCTTCCAATTTTTCATTCCTAGTTGGTATTCTCGCTTCACACAATCCCACAGCCACGCAGACAGTTGGCCATTACCCATATCAACCGGCTGCTATCACACAGGCTCCTACTGTCAGAGACCATTACACCTTCAGAGCGTGTACGCTATAAAACAGAGTTTATCTCTGGCTAGTAATAGTCCCCAGACAACTTCAAAGCTCTGTTCCAATCAGCCTTATCACATGAAAAGACTTAGGTCCATTCACACCCTGTTGGAGATGCTTTCGTGCCCTACACACTTGTAATTCAGGGAAACCGAGTTTTCCTTGTGACACAATTTTCCGAATAGGAATTGTAACAAACTTCCTTCTTGGTGAAACATTACATCGTCTGGGATTTCAAGATCTAATTAGTCAGTCCGCAAGATGAAACAACACGAGATCATAACAAAATTTCTTCTGTACGTCATTGAGGAAATTGAACACTGGGCAGCTATCAGATCCCCTGAAGCTTATCTTGCTACACCATCTGGCCTCCCCCCTATTATGTCAACAACATGGCTGAAGGATAGCAAGATTACCTGGCATAGGTGGTGTACTAAGGCTGATTAAGAATGAGAAAGATCAAGGTCTAGGTTAATACTGGTGTAAATTACAGCCGTATTTCATTCTTTGTAGCAGAGTTCAGAGCTTTGGCAACACTTTGTTGAAGGTGGATATTGCATTTCTGTATTTTCTGTTGTAGATAGTCCCTTCTTTTAAAGTTTGAGTGCCCCTATATCCAATTTAATTACCCTCAGCTGATAACAGTCTCCATCATCTAGCATTGAAGAAACACTAAAATTATACTGTATATACATGTATATGCATGGTTACACTGGGGCACTGACTGTTAAAGTTTGACCTTTAGGCACTTCAGGTGTTGTAATCTATAGAATGCTTATGAAAATGAATATTATCTGTTTGAGTTATCAGAAAACAAATCATTCAGGTGTTTGCAAGACTTGTGAAAAGAGATCTGTTGAATGATTTATACCAATTGCAAAAAAATTCTAACTTTATTTAGAAAGACGTCATATGCTGCTGAATTTGCGTCAAGACATTTTAGTAAAGAGCTTTTTGATTTCAGCTCTGCTTAGTGACTGTTTCACATTGCATGATTTATGTTTCGGAATCCTTATTTCTTAACAGCAGACACAAAACCCTTTTTATCCAGAGCCATGCATTTAGAAAATGAAGAAAGTTGTAGTGGACAAGATTTTACTGGTAATAAGAAGGACCTTAAACACCTGTTCTCGACACTGAATATAGATGAAAACAAATTTCTCTGTCTGACATGACAGCGATTCCAAATAAGATCTTTACATTCGAAAACCCTGTTTCCTCTGGAAGACAAACTCTCAGATAACTGCTGCTTTTGCAATGCATGAGTTTAATACCCAACTGCTGATCAACTGGAAAAGGTATAACGACAAAAACTCATTCCAGGACTTAACAAGTCTGCATCAAAGTCGGAACGGAATTTGGTTGGCACCAAAGAAAAGATTTATCAGTGACATCAATTTCTGGATGATCCTATGGTTGACAAAATGTCTAGGATCTTTGTGTATATTAGAATCTATTATTAAGTCTTCCATTATGTAACATTAAAGAAGTGTATGGTATAACTGTTAGGGCCATTTAATTTAACAGTATAATATATATAACCAGGGTTATAACAGGTATAACCGTATGTACAATATATATGGGGCAGAGATACTTTACATTTTATATATATATGGCCTCCGTCAGTCAATACTGACCATGGTAAATCCTACATTCTATAGTCACCGTCTTTTTATATTAACATCAACTCCTACTTTCCCTTGCCATTTGAGTTGACTTCAGTGTATTTAATTTTAGTGCAAACCTACACATGCAAACAGTGATGATGATCCAGCATAAAGAAAGTATTCCTATACAGAAATGATATATTGAACTTGAAGGAAACTTAGGAACTTGACTCACCGCCAAATTGATGTCGATGCAGCCAAGGAAGTCATCCACATCATCATCCTGCCCTGCCCGAGCAGACTGCACGATTTGTTTGAAGTATCTAAAACGATTAATACATTCAACGTAACATGTTAAGCTTGCCGGTAATTCAGTCAATCCTCTCCACGGAATGTGTGAATCAGGGGATTTTTGTGTAAATCTGGGGAATTTCAATAAATAGTGTGAAAAGTTAGATGTTGAGTAATACATGTATGTTTCATGGTACATGTATGTTGAACTTCTTTCATGTAGAGACTTGCAAAGTGTTAAAGTGAACTACATCTTTTGCATGCGGGCTTTAACCTTGCAATGAATAAACTAACACATTAACACATGTCCACCGGGGTGATATATCTACCATGCAGTCTTTGAAAAATTGGGAAAATCTCAAGTGCAAGACACTCCACGTATGCACAGTTTAGATATGCAATAGAGCATTATAGATGTACTGCAGTGAGATGCTGTATTTTGTTAGACGCTGCAACTTGCATTTTGCGGGATGCTGAAATTCAGTATTTTATTAGATGTTCAAAAACTAGTACCCATAATGTACTAGGAACTAACAATTATGATATTACTACTAAATTGTACTTACCTCCCTACACCTTTGATGCCTGACACCTCATTCAACTTTCTTGCTGCTTCAATTATGGATGCTTCATCATCATGATCCCTACAGATTAAGATGGTCTGTTGTTATTCTTTTACTATAAGCTCTCAGCAGTATTGTACTGTATTCCTGGCAAGTAACAGTCTGCACTCTGTTTAGTAGCCATAAAACATGTTTTATAATTAGGTACAACTGCTCACTGTACCCTTCATGAGTATAGTTTAGCGTATTGTAGAACGTCTTGTAGAATCGAAATATTTTCTAGCCAGTAGTTCTTTATAATACTCTGTCAGACACAGTAACCGTTGTCCATATATGTTAAGCATTACGATAGACACATACCAACTAGTAACCTTATTATTTGCTATATATTGTACCCATGACAATCGTTGTGCAATAAACTTTGACTTGACTTGACTGACATTTTATAGATTAGTACCTTCTAGTACACACTGCTTATTATAAGTTTGTGTCTGTCCAAAATAGCAGCTGTACCGAGTTCCTCAGAATGATTCAGTTGCCAGCAAGACTCAGTTAAACTAACAACAGCTTACTGCAACTGGTACAATTTTAGGACTCTAAACTGCAACATAGTTTATCACAGCCAAGTTTATTTGAACAAGTCTGAGATAAAGTGAGCAGCTGCAGACTCACCAGATATCAATGTGTAGTCTGTCATTCTTCAGGTCTTCTACTTCACTGTGGGGTCATTCAATGGGTTAGACAACAACGCAAGTCAGGTCACTAATGGTATACGTTTTTAATAGTGTCATAACACACATTTACATCTCCATGTACAACTTACAGCATCCTTAGGTCTGACATCTTTCACACATTTGTAATCAGCATGGTATGATAGTTTGGGGGTTGAATTACAGTCAGTTGCCATAGAATAGCTTGCACTAAGATTATGGGATGAACAGCCAGCAGTTTAGGTACATTTGTACTTATGACTTAGATGTACATGTTAACTAGTATGATGTCACACTGATATTACTGATATGTGACAGGAGGAAGAATGTCATATAAGGCCACAACAATTTAATTTCTTGGTGAACGGATTCGCCCACTTCATTTTTTTCTGATTTGCAAATAAAAATAAAAATTCAGAATCAACTGCAAAATACTCATATTTTGGCCTGAACAGTTGAAAACAGTCCTTTTCATCCCACGGTAGTTGTTACAGTTATTCCATCTTTCAATGCAATGGTATCATTAAAAGTAAAAAATTCATTGTTTAACTTTTGAACCAGCCTGGTGTGTTGACTTCATGGCTCCTAGCGTACCATTTTGGGCCATAATAGGATGCCTAGGCCTGTTGTTTTTTTTTCGGCCTGCCCGCTCCATTATTTTTCTAGAAAAATCCATTAACCAAGAAATTAAATTGGTGTGGCCTAATATGCAATATATAACGACATGTTATTTCTCTATTTTGTCTTGAAACATGCAGTTGGCATCCTTAACTGCAGGCTTGTAGCTAACTTTAAGTTTAACTTGATCATACTTACAATCTGAATTTCTCGTTCCACTGTGGGTTAAGTGTCTTCCTTCTGACCTCTGACACAAGAATGGGTGACTTGGCTATCAGATCTTCTGTTTGAGTCACCTGAGTGTGTAGAAACAAGTATAGTAAAGAGCTGTTTTTCATATCCAAATGGTATGATTTTTGGCTTTGGAAGCATATTCCAGCAAAAGGAACATGTAGACTGGCCTGTATTTTCTGAAAACCCATTGTTAAGACCCTGGATACTACATGTACCTCAATAATGGCCATTTTCAAACTGTAGGTTGTGTAGGTTTGTGACCAAAGTAACCAGTTACAGAGAAACCATGAAATGACTGAAGAAGATCAGGAAGTACATGTATTTGTAAAGAATAATCTGCTTTGAAGGTTACAAGCTGTAAAAAATATTGAAAACAGCATCTGTAGAAAACACAATCAAAGTGTGACAGTAGAACAACAACCAAAAGACCTAGAGCATTAGTATTTCACCTGTAACATGAATTTCAAACTGAAAATTTTGATGCGTAAAAACAGGACAACTTTTAACTAGAACTCATGAAGTGGTGTCAGGTGTATTTTCACTCTGAGGGTCTCCTACCACAAACTTCTTTCTCAGCATTTCTTGCACCCTCTGTTCCTGCTTCTCCTCTTTTGACATTTTCCCAGTAGGTGTAGATGGCTGTAAAAGCAATGGTTTCTAACCCTTTTGTACACAAGTAATTTACATTGTACAGTAATAAAGTTCCTGTAACCATGCATGATTTTTATGTGACCTCAGGAGGAAGCTAATAGTAGAAAGTTTATGCTTAGCCTCTCCAAACTGAATTTCATTCTCTTCATTGTTTATCCTGATGAAGGCGACAATGGTCGTTAATAATTTGAACTCTATGTACCTTTGTGTAAGCATAAAATATAGCATTGTACTGTGACAGTCATTCTTTTCAAATTTTTCTATTTTTCATGATCCAGCCTTCCTATCTCTCCCAACTGATCAGTTTTCTGCAAGCCCTCCTCCCGTACCTTGTCCTTGCCTCTGCTCTTCCTCCGTTGTCTGTCCTTGAAGCTTAGACGGTTCTTGGGCTTCCCTCCAGGAGTGGATGGGGGACTGAAGGATGGTGGGACAATTCCCAGCATGCAATAGGGGTCGCTGTACCCTGTAATTTGAAAGCAGAATGCCATTGGATCCACTACATGATAAATCTATGAAAGCTTTCACATTTGCCATTTACTTTTTAGCATCAAAGTTATAGTCAATATTATGCTAAGATAGTTCAATAAAATAATGTTATAAGAATTATGTGGGGATAGATGACTGTTTTCAAGTGCTGGTAGGCCCCAATTCATGTAATCTGCAGTATACTGTCAGTTCACATAAAAACAAAATATGCCATTCTTTCTTGAATGAACCATTTTTCTGCAAGCACCCAGAGTTTACTAACCATTTGCATCCTTTGCTTCTAGATCCTTTGCTTCTGCAACTGTAAGGGCAAGGGAAGTGTTATGAAAGATCATAAAATTGCCGCAACTAAAAAAATGTGAGTACTTTGAAAAATCTTTCTTAGTTCTGTAAGCAATAGTATCTGTGCTGTCCTTGGTACTGAACCTAGCATTGGTCAGTCTGTATTGTAATATTATGATTCTGTCATTCTGATGTATTCATATATAGCAATGCCAAAATGTTGCTTGTGTCATCTATTGGGTATAAGGCTTCAGCATTGCACAATGCATAACTTTTGGGCAACAATGCTAAGTTCAGCACCAAGGACAGTCACTCAGTGGTAAAGTGCTTTCACTGACAGTAGTGTGCCAAGATTGGAGCTAAATAGCAGTGTGATGATGTTACAAAGCTATAGCATGCACTAGATGGTAGAGAGCCCAGTTTTCCTCATACACCATGCAGTAGATAAGCTAGAATATATTACCATAACTAAAATGATAAAGACACCCTTGACTGTTTCCTAAAACTACCACTGCTTAAAGTCCGCAAAAGGTATTCATGCCTGTCTGAAAAGAGTTATTTTATCATACAGTAGGTTCCTGTGGTTGGCCTAATGTCTAGGGTTGTCAGTTTGTGTTAAATGTTCATAGCTTGTAAGAAATGTTTACCTGTTACGTTCAGCACACATTTTGGGGCCTGTAAGTAGAGGAAGCTTGATCACTAACACAACATTTGGACACATTGAAACATACTAAAACAAAAAACTTAGCAAGGTCTCATATTCCAAAATTCCTTGTTACTACAAACCATTTACTGAAATATATATTTTACACAATAAAGAAAACAAAGCTAAGGTTGTATTATGCCTTGATCATAAGAGCAATTCAAGAATTTGTAGAACAATTAAAAGATACACTAACGTCTTGTAAAAAATGTAATGTGTGACAAACTTGCTTTTGAAGTGTTTATCTATTGCCAATTAGTTTGATTTATATAGCATATCAGTAAAAACAGCCATCCCCCCCATTTCAATCAAAACTTGACTCTAGCTTTAAGTACAAGTCCCTCCTACCTTTAGTTCTTTAGCCCTGTCCAGCAGGGCCCTGTGTCTGTCTTCTGTAAAGTGGAATACCTGGGGGAAAACATGTTATTTTTGATAGTACTGTATATTTCATGCACTTATATCTAGCTGCAACTGATGAATACAGATGGAATGCTAACAAGAGAACTTCAAAGAATGCGCTGCACTACCGAGATTTGTTTTAAAAGTAGACTTTACAAACAGCTTACTTCTAGGCATTTGATCTGGTATCAGTGCAGGAATTTTAACAATGCTCTTGCAAGAAGTGCTAATAATATACACTCATTGAATTTGGCTAAAGCACTACTGGCTTTGAAATGCTGTCTCAGTCTTTAGTCTCAAGGCAGAAAGGCCCAATATCTTGTTACCTTATTTACATTAGAAGAGATGAATTAGAAACACTTTTTTCAAGTACTTTCAATACACAGTGGATTTCTAATAATGTAGCAGGTACGTGAAATGTTGTTGTACCTCTTGGGCATAATTGTACAGGTCTTCATCGAAGGGAGAGTGTCCGTCACTGGTGGTGCCTATCCTGTGTCGGATGGTGTACATCAACTCTTTGTACAGGGTGTCCAGCTAGGAGGAGGGGGACAAACACTAGAATCAAATGTGTGTCTGCCATCAAATTACGATAGCTTTGAGTCAACAATACTAAGTTCAGCACCAAGGACAGTGGTTTTCGCTGACAGTAGTGTGCCAAGATTGGAGCCACATAGCAGTATGATGATGCTAAAAAGCTGTAGCACTAGATGGAAGAGAGTCCAGTTTTCCTCATACACCATGTAGTGGATAAGCTAGAATATGTTAATTGAATAATTAATTCAAATGTATGATGCCCTTTATTGTTTCCTCAAACCTGTGCAAACTGCAAATTTACAAGGTATTCACTATTAAGTAGAAAATCTACAAACTTAAGGTATTCACTATTTGCCACGGTCTGTGATATATTACCAACCATGGCTTGAGACGGGAAAACAACTCACTACAATTGTCCAATTCGAATTTTGATTTATCATAACTACCAAGACGTATAGGTCAGGAATCTGATTTACAGAAATTCAAGACATTCTACATATCTCAAGAAGTGATGTGGGGGTATTTTGACCAAAAAAAAGCATTTAGAGAAGGAATTAAACTGATACGCACGACATAAATTGTTCTAGTAGAAGCTTTCAGGTGGCATCCGCCATCTTTCTTCAGCTCGAAAGAGGGGTCACGTGACCTAGGTGTCAAAGGTCACCCAGGTCACGTGACTGGACGAGGGAGTTGTAGATTGGTGGGAGCCTGTGGCGTCCTTGGTCACGGTTGAGGGACGGGGAGCGGGACCTGATGTGCACAGCTTCCTTGACCCCTCGTTCGAACCATCTACTTTCACGGTCTAGAATGGTGACTTTCTTCCCCGGTTGGTGTTTGTAAGTCTGCATGTGTTGTGCCACCGGAGAGGACTCTCGCTTGTGCTCAGATATCCTCTTTCTGAGGACCCTTTCAGTTTCACCTACATACTGGGCTTCGCAGTCTTCACATGTGAGATGATACACTACACCGCATGTGTCCTCTGGTTCAGTTTTGTCCTTTGGAGCGACCAAGAGTCTTCTGATTGTAGTGCATGGTGTACTGTGGACGGCCACCCCTGTGTTCCTGATCTTCCTGGTAATGGCTTCGGTCACACCCGCGACGTACGGTAGTGTAACATGACCTTTGGGTCTGCTGTCCGTGGAAGAGCGAGGATGTGGGATGAGTTTGGTCCTACCAGGGGACTGCCACGCCCACCTGGTGTATCCCGCTATGGAAAGGACTGTTTTGAGGTGATCGTACTCGGTGTTCTTATCATCTACTTCTGTGATGAGGTGGTCTGCT